ACCTTTCCATGCTGGCTCTGTGTAATTCAGTTCCTATTTAACTCTGCCATTTAAAATCAGCTCTTTTGCTGAGGAAGGCCTTTCAGAGGATGTTGCATCAGCTCATTGTTAAATAAACCTTTAGACATTTATAATGGATTCAGCATTTCCTACATTCTATAGTTCCAAGAATGCTGAATGACGTGCAGACACACTTCATCAGGATAAGATTGCTGTATCAGCCCCTCACTAAAATGCACTCATTATTCAAATAATAACTGTGTGTCTCCAGCATGTGTTCTGAGAAATACGTTTACATGATGTGGGCGAATAAACCAGCCCCTTTTTTTCAACATGCAAATCCTAACTTGAGGAAGTGAGTTGCTCAAGTAAAAAAGTGCTTCATCTTTTGAGTCCTTTTACTACCCAAAATGAGGCACCTGAACAGATATTTGGTCATTATTTTGGGCAGTGTGTTAAAATTTTTAGAAGTTGGTAAATGTGGTTTTCAAGGGCAACTGATTTGGTTTAGAAGTTTAAGTCCTGTGATAAGGCTGGTTGTGAAGGTGAGGTGTGGGCAGTAGGTCAGTAGGATGCTTTGGAAAACCTGGTCTTCATGAATGCTGAAGCCCCCTGGGATCAAGTGAGAGGAACAGCAGGTCTGTGGCATTGCAGAAACTCAACTAGTTCTGTAGGGGACAAATATGGGTCAGAAATGACAAATGCCAGAAATAAACAAAAGTCAAGTCTCTCCTTCTCTCTGTTTTGTTTCTTCTCAATGTCAGGAGATGAATATATGTCTTTATGTTTCTCCTGTCATTTTATGTATCTTTAAATAGTTCCTACAGCAAGCAACACGTTTCTCACACTGCTGTGGGTGTTTGCTATGTCATTAACACTTGGAGGAGAACCACCATCTTGAAAACCTGTCCAGGCAGGTTTAAAAGTAAGGCTGAAAGAAAAATGATATTTCACTTAATTAAGCACTAGGCATAAATCCATCCATGTTCTTCCTTCCTTACTTTCTGGGTTTGTAAACAACGATGACAGTGTTTGTTTTGGAGAAAGTATTTGCATTTCATCTTTTGGGGTACTTGCCTATTTGTGGAAGTGGACATTCTAAAGTTATGTTATATACTAGAGGTGATCACTTTCTATTGAGAGCAATACATCTGGACTGAAATTCATAATTAAGAAGTGAAAGAGAGTAGAAAAGGTTCAGAATAAATGAGATCATGTTAGGATCAGAGCAAGAGGCTCCAGTGTACTCAGAGAAGAAAACATCACACAGTAAATATATTAAATACCTATTTATGTGTTTTATTCACAAGTTATCAGCTCTGACATTACTTATTATTCTGCCATATCTAGTGTCATAAAAACCTTGGATAACTTTAAAAACTGCTATAATAATAGTTTGGTGGTTTTTCAAGTTCCCAATATATGCCGTATAGTGGGGATATTGCTGAGGGTCTGATCCTGGGTGATATTAACACTGAAGCTTCTGCACAAGTTGTAGGTACTTGGTTCCTCTTGTGCAGTTTTCAGGACAAGAGAAGCTTGTCCTGCTGTGCTGTGTGTTGGGACAATCTTACCCCTCCCCTCTCCATGCTAGTTAAAAGAACTGGATCAACATAAAAGAGATCTAAAGGATCCAAGCCTGACCTAGGTAGGTCATATTGTACTGAATGGGGGAATACAGCAATGAGCTGTAATTTGAGCAGCCCTTTTCCCCCCTCTGCTAGGTAATGGCTTCTACTAGTTTAATGTATTCAAAGCAATAAAAATTTAACTCAGCCAGTTATATAAAATTAACAGTAAAAATCGGAAGATTTTTTTTTAGGATATTGAATTATTTCAAAACACTGGTACAAGTGTGCCATGTCTGACCCTGGTGAGAACATGTTTTCCTTGGATTGTCCAGCAGGTGAAACTGCAAGAAAAAGGAAGGTTTTATCAACTGACTCTGTATTTTTTGCTGTTTTCTTTGTTCTTGTCTGGTGAGGACCTATTTGCCTGCACTGTGCTGCCTTCAGAAAAACAGGTGAATCCCTACAATAAGCCACTCCATCTTATCTCAAGTAACTTTCCTTTTGCCCTGGAAAAGACATAAATAACATTTTTAATATCTTCTGTCAGATTGGCAGGTCAGGGTTGTTTTCCTCTCTGAAACTGTAACAATTAAAGGAAACAAGCAGTATATTTTGAGTGAAACATGTAACACCATAAGCCGTGTTCTTTGTTCTTGTCTGGTGAGGACCTATTTGCCTGCACTGTGCTGCCTTCAGAAAAACAGGTGAATCCCTACAATAAGCCACTCCATCTTATCTCAAGTAACTTTCCTTTTGCCCTGGAAAAGACATAAATAACATTTTTAATATCTTCTGTCAGATTGGCAGGTCAGGGTTGTTTTCCTCTCTGAAACTGTAACAATTAAAGGAAACAAGCAGTATATTTTGAGTGAAACATGTAACACCATAAGCCGTGATTTCTTTTTTCTTTTCTTTTTTCTTTTTTTTTTTTTTTTTTTTTTTTTTTTTTTTTTTTTTTTTTAGATTTCTTTTTTCTCGTACACTGAAGTTTTAATGACAATAAATTGCTGTGGCACAAAGTTATGCCTTGGTCTGAACTTCAGACTCTCCAATAGTTTTAATCTGAGTTCAGGAAAGTGAGTCTGCATCAACATGCAACCGCTCGAGCCAGTTTCACCTCTGAGGACACCACCGTGCCCTCCTCTCCCTTCTCACCTCAGACACATCAGATTTTCAGTCCAGGTAATTTTTTAGCTTTAAAACTGGGAGAGCATGGAAATGACATAAAATGCCCTTACAGTGCTGGTGCTTTTCCCTCCTGATTCTCCTTCAACAGCTTATTCTTAGAAACCCAAGCAGTCTGATCACGCCGCTGCTGAGCATACCAGGCACTCGTTTGTCATCGCTGAGTCTCAGGTGAGACCTGGGCCGATGCTCCCCACAGCAACATTCCCTTGAGCATTGTGCATTCACTCTCCCTCTCCTTTTCCCATTACACACTCTATTTTTTTCCTCTGTGCAGCCAACACGAGAGACCCCAGATCACAACAGCAGATTGCTCGCCCACCCATTTCATCCTCTCTTCTCCCCTGAGAAGGTGGCCATGATTTATCTGCTCATGTCAGTGAGCAGGTGGCAGTCGGACTCAAGGCTGAGGCTGCTTAACCTGTGATAAATAGCATATTTACCAGCCCTTCCATCTTCAAATGCTGTCCACATGCAGTCCAGAGAGCAGCACAAAACTCTTAAAATAACAAACACATCCAGGGTTCAGCAGATGTGGGAAACAGGAGATATAATGAGTGTTTTCCTGCTAGAAAGAGGTTGGAATTGAAGCCTGCTCCTTGTCCCACTACCTTTTATTCACATTCCTGGAATTATCTGGCATGCTTGCTTTATCCCCAGCCATCTGTGATGGGCTGAGCTAGGAGAGATAAGCTCAGTAATCAGAAAATTGAGGGAAGCATTTCTGACTCTGATAACCTTATCAGGCAGCTAATATACATTAACATTTGTACAGCCTGATGATTCAGGTGGGCCTTAGCTTATTTTTTCTTCCTGGATGCCTTTTGACAGGCAAGGGGAAAATGCAGGGCTTTAAGGTGCCAGGGGGAAATTGGGCTAAAACCTCTTTCCTACCTTCTCTCTTCTGGTCTTTTCCTGTGGTCTCAGAAAAGGGAGAGAGAATAATCCGACCATCCCTTTTCTGCCCTTCCCTACTCGCAGTGCTGCCATGCTCTGTCTTTTCTGGGAAGCTTGGAAGAGCAAAGAGGCAATAGGTCAAAATTTCAGTTCTGGCTGAGAAATGTGACTGCACATGTCAATATGCTACTTTTTCTTGTAAAATCAGGGAGTTTCTGCCAGCTTGCTGCCTTTCCAGCGAGTTTGCTGTTGCAGTGGGATTTTGCTCTACAAGTCTAATCAGTGCTGTGGAAAGGAATGATGCATTAATTAATTGTTTCCCTGATGCTGAGCACGGAGCTCCTCTGTGGTCATATGTTTTGCATCTATAATTAGGTTTGGATTGCTTATTGTTTTCCTCCTGAGTGAAAAATACAGTTTCTGTCAATAGATTTATTAGGGCAATTAGTCGCCAGGTGCTAAAAGACAGATGACAGAAGAAAACCCAAAATCTGAAGCATGAGTGTGAAGGAAGAAAGACTAAGCTGGGAAATGATGCTGGAACAGAAGTTTGAATATCCTCTGGGTAGTTTGTGTCTGCTTGAACTTCATAATAAATAATTTTGTGAGGGGTTTAGAAACAAGTAACATGTCATTTATCAATCTGTGCATTGTCTTGATAGCTGAATTAGGGATGCAGACTTCCATAAGTCAGGGAGACTGGAAATGGTAGAGTCAGGGTAACAAGTTTTCATGTCTATGGAGTTTTGAGGTATTTTCTTGTGAGTTTCTACCCAAGCAAGGCCAGAGGCAGAAAGTATTCTTAACTTTTGTTCCACCAGAGCTACCTAAGCAGCTTGATCTAGAAGTGTATATTGGAAAGTGCTGGAAATATTCCCTAGGCTTTTGGATTCTATGATACGTGTCTCAAAGTTGTCCTGCACAAGACAGCCTAGTCCAGTGGTTCATTTCTTCTGGGGAGGAATAGAAACTATACAAGATTGAACTGTCAGTACTGAATCTTGGGTACCACTGAGCTGCTAATACCACAGAGATCATTCTCTGCATCCTATTATCCATGGGGGATGGATTGGGGAACTTTCTGGAAGAGAGGAAGCTGCTTTGCTTAGAAACAACCAACTTTCTGTGGTTACCTCGGAGAAGATGTTGGGGAGAGCAAAAGGGTTTGCAAAGGGAAGCAGGGTTAATGAGGTTTTGACATTCAATACATGAAGAGCTGTGCTTCATGTCCCTATCCTGGAAAAAGTCTGACACGTGCAGAATGTCATGATTTCCTTCCCCTCCCTTTGCTGTTTGTGTATCCCCCTTATTAGTTCTGGAGGAATTAATGCCTTTTCTCTTCTGCAGCTGGAGGTGGAGATGAAGGTCTTGAAGTCTCAAGAGTGCACAGCTGAGCAAAGTAGCATCATCACCAAGGAGGAGGTTGACATGCTCAGGTAGGCAAAACAAGGGGAAGGCTGGGAAGATTCTGCAATTTTCAGTGGAACTAATGAGAAGGGAAATGCCCAGGGCAGTTTCACTGCCTGCTCTGGTTATTGCCAAATTGTGGTAGAGCACCAGGTACAGGACCTCACCTTACTGCAGTCCATGAAAGGTATATGTGTACAGACTGCCTTTGTTTATAGGCTGCCTGCTATTCAGAGGACAGCTTGGTAGCATCGATCAGAACGTTTGCCTTGTATTTCTGAAGTAGAAAGCTCTTTTCATGAGCACACGTTTTACTTTCCCAACAGCTTTTATGGATGTGAGAAATCCATGAAGCATTAACAGAAAGCCTCAGCCCTAAGCTTTTCTGCATTGAGGTACTAAGTAAGCTTTTCTATCTTTGGGGGGGCTGCAGGCTCTTTTCTTTTAATGTTTGGGTTCTCTTGCTCTCAGTTAATTCATGAGACTGACTCCTGTGTCGCTGTTTCCCTTGTTGACTTTCTTTCCTCTGGAAACTGTGTTGCTGTTTGTTTTGTTTGTTTCTTGTTTTGACCAAATCTCAACTGTAAATACAGGATCTGCTGGCATGTGTATGAAGAGGTTTAGAATCCAGCTTTTGTGATACTGATGTGCTTGTAGCACTGAAGATAAAAGAGGGATGTTTCCCCTTGTGCATTGCTGCAGATGGCAGAGGGGTATTTGTTGTGATTCAGTGAAAGAGAAGTTACAAAACAGCATTTCAGCAGAGAATACATGAGCATTTACAAAAGCTACAGTGAAGCTAGACAACCTTTCCATGTATCTATTAAAGCATTTACAGTTTCCATTCTAAAGCAGGTGATGCAATAAATACTGGGCACAGAAAAGTTCATCTGTTTCTGAATGTTTAATAAAGTTTCTTTTTTTTTTCCTTTATTTTTTCTTTTTTTTTCTTTTTTTTCTAATCTGAACAAATCATATCTTGACAGGCTGAGTTCTTTTATTCCCAGCTGCTGTAAGACTTTGGTTGGAGTTTCATTTCTTAATTCTTTTATATTTTCAGCTCCATCACTATAAATGGTTAGTGCCTCTTAGGACTGAAAGCAAGATTTTGCAGCAAGCACAAATTACTGGCCTGTACGTTATGGCTTTGCTCCTGTGCTTTGCCTCTGGAGCTTATCTTATGGCTTGGAAAGCTCAGTTCCATAGTGAGGGGAGGTGTTTGAAAAGAACACATGTTCAGCTAAGCTATTCCAGTACATTTTAGGGCTGTACACCTAATCTTAGGGACTCGCTCCTACAGTTCCCTCAAGGTGGTTCAGTACTTTTGAAGACCCAAGACATACATTTTCCTTTTTTAATACATCTCACTTTTTTTTTTTTTTTCTATCATATACTTGAGTTCTGGTAGAGGATAAAACACTGGCTTCCCCTTTTTAGGAGGATAAACCTGTCTCCATCTGCTTTTGTGTACTGTGGATGTTTGTTTGAACTGAGCTCAACTGGTTGTTTCCTTTGCTGAGGCACACTCAGAAACCTGATGTTTACACTGCTTCAGAAGTATTCAGTACCTTTTCAGCAGCATTAAACCCATCACTCCTGATTGATAACATGCCTCTATCAGTAAAGCCAGCCTCCTGCTCGCTGTCTTCTGGGAGCTGAAGGTTTTCAGAGTATTTCCCCAGTACCTCTTTGGTCTCTCCCTCCCTGGTTTGGTATGGGCTGCAACACCCTTTCATGTAGGAGATGTTCACTCTCTTTATTTTTATCTCCAAGACTCATTATTTGGTGTTTATCTTCACTGAGCAGCATTTGCCATCTATTAACTGAGCAGCTTCAGAAACAGCCCGATTGCCACATTGTCCAGGACTGCTTCATGTTGCAGAAGGCTCTTGGCAGTGGGAATAGAAATGTCTGGCTTTGCCCTGAATTGAAAGCCTATTTCCTGGGCAGGGGCAAGTGGAGCTCAAATGTACCTACCACCACGGGATTGTGGTGTTAGGTTCTGCTCAAAGGTAGCTCTAAAACTCTCTAGATATTTTATTTTTATCTCTTTTTTTTGTGTGTGTGGTTTTTTTGTTTGTTTTTAAAGAATTTCTTTGACTACTAATCTCATCTCTCTCCTCCTTTCATGAAATTGTGTCAAAGCCTCCATACAAAGTACAGCAGAAACACAGGCCTATTCCCAGTACAGCCATAGATGGTGTGGAGCTGCTCTCCAGTGATGAGCTGTACAGTGAAAACTGTTTCAGCAGGGAGGCTGAGCTTCTGCAGTTGTTTCATGGTGATATTTTTGTCTTTTCTTCCCTTTCCCATTTCAGTACCATGTGCATCTGAGGCCATGGATGCACAGAGGCCACAGTCCCAGGATCTAATCCCAGACTGCTTTTTACAGAATCACTTTTTGGTTGTTACAGCTGATTTAAATAGTTTTCCCAGACCCTGACTCTAGACATTTAGCTAAAAGCATGTATTTGTTTGGTTTTAATCACCCTTTGCACTGCTCAGCTTGAACAGTAAACGACTTAATGCAAAGTGTTCCCTTTCTGCTGCAGCTCTCTTTGCTGGAGAGCTGGTAAACCATGCCCTGCTCCTTTTTCCTTCCTGTTGGCTACTATTGCTGCTTTGGATTTCTTCTCAGACTCCCAAGCACTCCATTCAGTGTTGCAGAATCAACTCCATAAAGATTTTTTTCTTATACTTCTAGAATTAAACAGTCTAAGGGTATGGTTGGTTCTTAGTGTTTTCTGACATTTTTTTGTGCCTTGGATAAGAAACTGGGCCAAGTTCTTTCTTCAGAGAAGTTCCTTCTCGAAGGAAGCCCTTAGGCTTTTGGGGTCCAAGAATGATGCACCACAGTCCACACCAGAATTTTCCTCATGGCTGGGCTGGATGTGTCCTCTCCATACAGAAGAGGCAAGCTGGGAGCTGTGACTGAAGAGCTGAAGGGAGTAGAACAGAGATTAGTATGGAAAGAGGTTTGGTCTGCAGGTCTCATCATCCTCCTGTGTCCCTGTGGGCCTCAACAGGACTGCTTTACTCAGTTTTACATAGCTGCTAAGGAGGAGGGAGCAACACAAGCTCCGTATACACCCTGTATTTAGAAGCTAACTCCTGAAAACAAAAGTAGGAGAGACATGAAGGAGAAAAAAAAATCCATACTAAACCTTTGAATCTGTATTCACCTCCTGTGAGTGAATGAGAGCTTTTAAAAATATATCTTCTGTCTCATTTTTCTTTAGTAAGGAAAGTAAATTTTCAGTGAAAAACTTGAAAGACTTTATCAGTTTTTCCTCCTTCTCTTGAGAACAAAGTGCTCTTCCGTCAGGCCTTTTATAACTTTAAATGTGAAACTCTCTCCCAGCATCATGGTTTCTGAAGAGACAATAAAAGCCAGTGCTAATGCTGCCATTTCTCACACTTCTTGCTGTTCCCTCTGAAATCATATTTGTTTATATTCTGCAGGTATCAAGTGGCCAAACTGTTGAGTTCAGGCACTGTGGGTATAGCAAAGCAGAGAGCATTTAGGCATTAGCACCTTTTAGAGGGAAAGTGATAACTGTGCAGAAACTAGGATTTCAGAACCTATAAATGAAAGTAATACATTTAAGAAGAACTTCACTGAAGACTTAAGTGGTGACAGCTGAAGGACTTTTTCAGCTGGAACAAATCTGAACTTTTTCTTTCTGCTGTCAAACTGCAACCCCAGTAAATCCTAAATGTTTTCTGTGGATTTAGTGAATGGGTAGAGTTACAGTAATTCAAAAGAAATTCATGTCCTTGCCAATGCCTATTAGTCACACTTGCTAGAATTCTCTCTGCTCTGCTCCTAACACCATCTCAGTGCCATCTGGATCCCTTAATAGTGTCTTCTCAACACATACATTTTCTGCTCCATTCAGTAGTTTCCTGTTCAGCAATAGCTTTTCCACATGGCCATGTCCCCTTTGCAAATAGGGCCTCTGTGAGATGTGTCCTCATCAGTGATAGCCACACTGCTCTGCAAGCAATCATATACCTTGTCTAAGAACATTAAAAATGAATAAAAGAACAATAAAGAGGTGATGGTGGGGTCTTGTTGCTGGTTAGCTCCACTGAAAAGCTCTAGACTGAGAGAGACTTTTGGAAGTGCCTCAGTGATGTTTAAAATCAATCAGATTCTCCCCTTCTTTCCTTTCTTGGCCTGTCTCTCTAGCAGCCATCACTCACCATCTGAGCACTTTTTGATAGATTGAATGCACTTGGTGGGATGTCTCCTGATTCTCACAAGTGTTGTTTAAGGACATCTGAGGCTGCAGGTTTTTTTTCTTGTTTCCTCTTCTAATTTGGGACAGTGAAACATATAGTGAAGGCAACATATTGCTCAGTTTTCCAAAATGGGAAAATCCAGAAATCTGAGCCAATGATTCTTGCATTAAATTTGATCTTGTGAAAGGCTGCAAAGGCATCTTGAATTTACCTTGTGCTTTTGGAGCCTTTGACTCTGGGTTTTGTTATGTGCATCTGATGCAGAAAAAGTCTTCCAGAGATACAAAGAGATCTTCTCAGACTTGAAATATTTTCATGTTTCCAAACTCGTTTATGGAGAAGAAGTTGGTAGATTTTACACAAATTAATCTGAATTACTTTTCCCTTTATTACAAAACTTGAGAATGATGTTAGTATTCCACAAAGAAACTGATGTTTCTTCCTTCTTTGTCCTGCAATGCTGCTTTTAAAATGGGCACCAACATTCATTCTGGGCCAAATATAAAGTTGATAGATGGTTTGCTGTACCCAGACGTTTTCTGTACTCTGCTTTTGTGGTTCTCACGTGAATTTATCTTGAATTGTTCTCCCTTCCTGAAAGTAAGTCCCATAAGTAACAAGTTGAGGCATGCAAATCAGTGATAAAATAGCATCGCATATCTTGTGCAGATGTCCCTGGACAGAGAGCACAAGGTACATGCAGACCAAGGCTGCCTTTGCAGGGGCTGGTGCATCCAAAAGTACACAGTTGGCCCTGTACCTGACTTTATAGAAATGAAAAAATTCAAGTGAAGTGCCAAGCAAGTAAATATTTTTTCAATATTTGACTGCTGTATCTTAACCACCAGCTGCAAATGCTTTGCTGTGTTTATATATAGATAGGATTTCCCTTGCTTCTCTCTCTTTGCCATTGGGAAGAGTTCCCCAGGGCTGGAAAGCAAAGCTAGAATAGCACAAACTGTTTGCTAATGGTTCTTAATGCTTTCCCACTGGAGATCCAGGACACTTAACAGTGTTAAAAATAGGTTAGAAGAGGGATAAGTAGTGAAAGCACTAGCCAGTCCTAAAAACCTGCCTGGTACAGAGAGGCTGCAGCAGCGCTCCCTGTCCTCAGCGCAGGGGCAGCAGCAGGATTTGTGTCTGAAGGGGGTGTGGGGAGAGCACCCCGTGCATCTGTGGGCTGACTTTCCTGGAGCACGGTGGGTCTGGAAAGAGGGATACCCCAAGGATAGCCCCATAGCTGTGGGATGAGCCACATCTCATCGTGTGGGAGAGGGGCCAAGTTTCAGCCAGGCCCCCGTGCGCTGCACGTCTGCGCCTTGAGTCCCTGTGCTGGCCTCGGGCAGGAAGAGCATGAACAAATTATTACATCTTCCAATTGCAGGTAAAATAGTACAGAAATACAGTTACTTAGACATGCCCGTTGTGACAGGTCCCTTTGTTTCTGGTCTTTGTGAAGTGTTTTCTGATGATTGATGTGGATGATTCTTGGAGGACGTTGAAGAGGCCTGAACTCAAACCTCCGCACGGAGAGTCCTGCAGGCAGATAATGGCAACGTCACAGCTGGGTTGGGAGGCTGGGTTGGGAGAAATGTGTTCTAAATTAAAATTCAGCATTCCAAGTATGGAGAATGTACTGATGAGAGTTCTGTGTCTGGCTCTGACCTTTCAGTAGCTGCTGCTCTGTTGTTTCTTGGAGAAAAATGCTCTTCTTGTGGCCTACTCTGCAATCCATTTAGAAACATGCCATTAAAAGCATTAATTCCATTTTCCATTTCCATTTTTTTTTGACCTTTTCAGTCTCCTGCATCTTCAGCATCCTCCATCCCTGCTAGCTTTGTGTCTCTCCTGAAAATTATTGATGATCCTTTTTAATGGCTTAGACAATGCTAAAAGCTGCTCCTCGGCATTTTTGATGCTTCCAAGAGTGAAAAAAAAAATGATGCTTTATAATATCTGAAAATTACCAGCAGGGGTCGGGCTTACAAATAATTTAAGCAATTCAAGCTGCGTAATTATAAAGCAGACATTTCTCTGCTGAATGTGTTGTAGATAAACCAAGTTCTATGAAAAAGTTGGTAACTTTTGCCCAGTGAGTACAAGAGACAATTTCCTATACCTGGAATTTCTGTTGCATAATTTTGGGATATTCGTAGATGTGCGTGTTGTTTGTTGTCACGGTGCAAGGATTTTCGGCTTAATTTTAGGTCATTTAAAAGTCTTATCAAGCAATATAATTAATTTTTTAAAAATATTTTGGAAAAAGATCCTAAGAATGCAAAGATCAGTGTTAATACACGTTAGTTGCACAGTTAATCCCAGGAAGTTAACATGCGAAAGGAGAGGTTCTTCAAGCAGCACTTAGGTTTTTGTTCTCTCTACTTAAATGCAAGCAAAAATATTTTATCAAACGTTTTATAATAATATCACCTCCCTAACAAGTTCGATAGAGTTCTCTGAAGGCTTCAACAATCATTTGGCCAAGGGTGATGTGTTTGATGTGTTGTATTTGACCTTTCAAAAAGCTTTGAGCCAAAGGTTACAAAGAAACTTCACTCTGATGGAATAAGAAAGAAGTTTCTCTGTTGCATTAATAAGAATATAAACATCTCAGAGGGCTGGCTGTCCCAGTGCACTGTCTGCAGGGATGGCTGGTGGGGGTGACCATGCAAACAGGGCAAAGCTACTGGGGTACTTTGCCAGAAGGCTCTCCTAGCTTCTAGTGCCTTGGCACCAGTATTTCCTGAGCCAGAGATAATAGAATGTCTTTCTACTTTGTAAAACTTGATGCATTTTTTTTCTTCCATTAATTTGCTTATGGAATACAAAGTTAGGAGATGGAAAATCAAAGAATAAATGTTGTTTTCACAATACTGAGGGTTTTCCACGGAGTACTAGAATAGTTATTATTGGGAACTTGTTCAACACAAAAAGGACATTGTGACTCATAAGGTGACAGAATTTGAGATAATAGGAAGTTATTCAGCTTATCAGACTGCTCAGAATTTTAGAAGAATCTTATGATGCTGCTTGTGATGGGAAATGAAGTTGTACATCCAGAATTGCAAACACATGCACGTAAGAAAAAAAGGCCTTTACCTATTCTCCCACAATAGTGGACACTAGTGAGCTGTAATCAGTCAAGGAAGAGATCTTACATTATTGTGAACAGTTTTCTAAAAATACCATGTAAGAGCTCAGTTGTTAAAAAGATAAAATACCAGAAGTTATTAGAATAGAATATGAGAACAAAACAGGAAGCCTTTATGTACCACTGAATATATCTAGATGAATGCTGTTTGTAGTTCTAGCTTTTCTCATAGCAAAAAATATATCTAAAACTTGAAGAAGAGCAAAGAAGTGTGATGAAGATGAGCAGAAATATGGAAAATCCTTGATATGAGGAAAGACTAAATTGAGATTCTTCAGGTAAAAATAGAGGTGGGCTGTAAAGTGGCATGGAGAGAGGAGGATGGTACAATTATTCACAACTTTTCATAGCAGAACTAACAGGCACTCAGTGAAATAATCACATGTGAAGTATAAAAGAAAATGAACTAATTTTTCATACAGCACATAATTAAATTGTGGAACTTGCTGCCAAGGAGTGTTGTGAAGGCCAAAAGTGTAAATCAGATCACAAAGAGATTTGATGCACTCGTGGAGATTTTAGCTGTTGGTGGTTATTAAACATGATGGTCTAGACTCAGCCTGTGGTTCAAGAAGTATCTAAGTTGGAATTGCTTTATCATCAAGATGTATATTTTTAATATACTTCTACAAATTATAAAAGTTAATAACTCAAACTGGTATTTTTTAGTCATATATTTTAACTGCCTCGGTATTGTAGCTTTGTGGTAATAAATACAGGAGTAATCTGCTTGAGATTTCATGTTTTACTTGATTATTTGTAGTGGGAATGTGCAAGGACACAATGTTTATGAACTTTCCTTTCTTCTCCAGGCTGAAAATTGAGGAGCTGGAAGCTGAACGCAGCAAGCTGGAAGAGGAGAACAGATCCCTGCAGATGAAACTGGAGAAGCTAACTCTGCAGGTAGGAAATGTGGAGAGACTGACATGGTCCATCCACTGTAGCTGTTCAATAGATGTGCCAGAATGCTCACAGCATCTTCACTCTCCTCAGTCTGGGCAAGGCAGTTTTTGGAAGCCTGTTCAAACTGCACCAACGCACCTGTACCTCTGACCATGTTAGCAGAGAGTTTTGATCTTTTGATGCAGTTACACAAATGCAGTTGTCTTTTTCCACACCTCTGCCTAGAACCTCTACTTTTTCTTCTTTGAGCCTTAAAAAACCTGTTCCTTTGTAAATAGCTCCATTACCACAAGTTGTCTGTCTCCAAATCCATTTGTGCCAAAGCAGGAGCGTAGACAGGTTTGGGCTCCATCTGTACCTAAGACTCCACTGCTGCTATCAGTGATGGAGACAGAGACCACCTGTTTGTGGCCTCATGAGGTAGTAGTTTTCCAAGCCAGGGAGCATCAGTGCTGTCGAGATGATGACATGGCAGTATCTCCATACCATAGACATGGAGAACTGAAGGTGTGGAGTCGGAAAGACAAAAGGATATGTTTCTCTTGCTGAACTACTATGGGTGCTATTTTCCTGAGTAGTGCTGTCCTGTATGGAAGAAGGTTTTCAGCTTTTTACGCTGGATAGATCAAAGAAGTCTCATCCTCCTTCAGGGAGGGCAAGGACACCTGCAGCAGCTGAGTGAACTGTCTGTGCAAGCAGCTCTCATTCTGGAAACAGCTTTCCTGTGCAGAGGAGGGGCATGGGAGTTGCTTCAGGCTTTTATAGTGTTTCCTCTTTGAAAGATGCTGGACCAAGCAAGAACCTGACCCTGTTAGTTTAAACAAAGCCCATCCTGATATGAACAGTGTTATATCTCCCTTCTGTTCTCTCTGATATGCTGAACAATTCAGCATTGTGGCATTACATTCTCTTAATTTTTCTCTTACTTTTTTCCCCCATTTTTCTGTAAATTGCTTCATGGTAGACAACTTACAGGTTTGAAATTACCCAGATTTCAGACAGGCCATTGACTTTTTCCTGACACCTATTAGAGGCAAATCAAATATTTTTTTTTTATTACCAAGTCCTAGAGACAGGGGAAGTGACAGCTTTGATAAAGCAGGGAGCTAAGAGCTGCTGAGCATCTCTGCTGAGCCATGTTCAGTGTGAAACCTGTCACCCAGCTCTCCTTTAATTGGATTTCAGTCATCAGAAGGAGATGAAAGTTTTGGGCTGGTGTTTGGATGCTGAGGTCTCCAACAAACACATTGGCTTTGGTTTCAGAGCAGATTACAACACACTCAGGTCATGTTTAATCTGCCAACATTGTCTTATAATGGCTGCTGACTTTCTAAGAAGGCCAGGCTGGAGGAATTCCCTGTTTTCCTTGTGATGTCTCAAAATGCTCTGCTCTGTTTGCTGATACTGCTCTTGAGATGCCAGAACACTAAGCTGTTTAAATTGCGCATTCGAAGATGAAAGGTCTGAAGTCTTCAGTGTAGTCTTGCTAATTGTCTCTGGTCCTCAGCAGAGGACACCATCAGGTAGTATCATTTGGATAGCTGAGCTTTCACAGTGCAGAAAGGTCATGTGGTGATAGGAACAAGATGGGACCTTCATATTGTGTTAAAGCTGCTACACAATTCCAGTTGTACTGATGACCAAAAAGACTTTTGAAGTTTGTCACAGGATTCCCATGGGCTGTCTCTTCACTGGTGCTCCCTGTTTGAATGCATTATTGTGCAGATCAGGGCTTTGTGGGGGGAGCAGGATGCCAAAAGCAGCTTCTCTGAAAGAGGAACAGAGAGGAAAGCATGAATATAGGAATGTGCAAGCCGAATTCTAAAATGTCAGTATTGATCAGTGTGTGCCCACCTGAATAAATGGTGAGGATTTCAGAACTCCTCAGAGGGGAAAACATCAGCCTTCTTCTTTTTTATTCACCTTAAAAATCAAATATTTTGACAGGCCAAGCTTAGGATGGATTTTCTTGTAAATGTATTGGAAGAAGATTCCTTACAGTGGGAACCCACTAAGTTAAGGATAAGCTTAGAAATTCACTTCTTCTGTCAGAGCTGAGCAAATACACTGAAAATCTTATACATTCAGATAAGGTCACTGAAATGCTGATAGTTTGACATGTTACTTGTTCCCATGTCTGAAAGAAATCACTTGGAAATGATGGGTTAAAATAACATCTCTTTATCACAAAGGGAGAAAAAAAGCAAGACTAACTTTATACAGAGGAATCACAAGAAAATTTTACTGAACAGAAGGATGATTGAATTTATGGACATGGGAAAAGCACAGCATCAAATCACAGGTGAAAGAGAAAACAGGGGCTGACATTAAGCAAGATAGGATGAGGCTGATTTCTGACAAATCTTTATCTGCAGTTCCTTTTTTTTAAAAAACAAACCTCCACCTTCTGGAACTGTATCTATTAAATGGCGGATACATAGAAAGGGTGAATTGAAGTTGTGGATTTGGAAGAGGCAGGATGTAAAATTAAGATGTTGACTGCCTCATGCTGGACTGAGCACTGCTGAGTTCCCAAAGCTGCATGTGGGGAATGAAATCTAGGGAAATACGACTGACATTTGGTAATTAAAAACATCAATGTTTGATTGTATTGATGTGTGGAAGGGAGTTAAGTTTCAAAAGTGCTTTCCTCCTCTATGGATCCTTTTGTATTTGAGTATTGGCACATGGATTTTGCTCATTTCTTCTTTGGCTGCTGCTAACAGTAGCCCACTTAGTGAGCTGCAGGACTCTAATGGACTGGCCAAAGGGAGCACGTGGGAAGGTACTTTTGTGTTAGGTGTGTGATTCATGCTCCCTGAGCTCAGTATTAGCAGATAAACTGAGATACTGATAGCTGTCTGCAGCAACATGAGAAACATCTGACATCTCTTCGTGTGCTGTGCTTGTGTGGGGACAGCTTGAATTATGACTGAAGGTGGTTTCCATCTCCATACACCCCTTCTTCTGAAACCTCTTGGCTCTTGACACCTCGCTACGGGCTGCATTGATTTTCCTTCACTGGTATAAAGACTTTTAACATGGATATTACTCACTGGTCAGTCTTTACTCCTAATAAAAACCTCAGATTAGAAAAACACAAGAAATATTGGAACTGTAGAGAAAAGACACCCTGCTGAGGGTGCCTTTCCATCACCCAGGACATTATCCCAAGAAAAACGTTTGAACTGTGGCTCAGGAGAGGGATTTAAATAATATATGAAAAAAATGAGTTTAGCCAGGTAATTTTATCTCTTCTCCCCTAACCTTCTTTCTTCTAATGAAGAAAAAAAAGGCTTCCAGGAAAGCAAGTGCACTGTTACTGCTTGGCTTGTAAGCAGATGCTGAGATTTCAGTGACAGGTTTGGTTTGTTGAGTTACCTGAAATGATCTGGACCATCTTGCTAAGCTGCTGGTGGAAAAGTGCAACTTGATGCCAAGGACAAAAGAAACTGATCAAATCAATGCTTTTCTGTTAAAGTGGGAGGAAAAACTTGTGAGGAGTGTTCAATTAGCATTTCTTACTGCTAGGAGCCTTGTGTTTTCAGGCAACCAGGCAATGTGAAGTGTTCCTTATGCAAATACTAGTCTTCTGCTTTTCCTGCTCTCCTCCACCCTTGGAGCTGAAGGAGAAGAGATGCTTCAAGTTTGGCTGCTTCAAGGAAGATTGATTAAAATCAGCTGCAGTTTGACTTAATTGGATCCATATGCTCGGAGAGGGAGCAGGACTAGTTAGAAGTCCTCGTAATTAGTTCACAGCTGGTTGGTGAGAAAAATGAAACTCCAGTTAAGAGTTCAGATAAGTGGATCTGTATGGTTAAAAAGCAGGGAGATGTTTTTAATGCTGAGATGTGTTTGGGTTTGAAAATCATCCCCAGGCCTGTAGCCAAACTAGCAACCTAATCCCTTTGAGCAGATGTATGTGTATTTATATGGCTAAATGGAAGGAGTCTTAATTTTCTTGCTCCTTTCTGAGTAAAAGGAATCACCTGTGGATGCTGGCAGTCAGTGAAACCTGACAAGAGTCACGGGAGGCTGGGAGAGGATCTCAGGGACTAGGTGAAACCATGCAAGGGTAGTTTGGCAGTGTGGAATGTTCATGGTTTGGCACGAATTCTAAATGGATTGACTTTGAGTGCAAAGTCACAGTAATAATTAGTTGTGTTGAGCCTTTCTGCCCATCAGTAAAATAACAGCAATACTCATAGAAAGGAAATATTATTAATACATATTGAAATAACTGATTTTTTGCAAATTATCTTTAAAAGCTCAGAAGGAGTTAACTAGCTATGTGCTATGGGGACAGTCATCAGAAAACTTTCCCCAGCCAGAAGCTGATATGTATGCTAAATTTTGCTGCCAGAATAGAAGGAACTGAATTCCTATTACAGTGTCCACAAGGGATCTGCTGGAAAAAAACATGCTCCACAAGGTGTTTGGGGGTATTTTTTCATGCTGGCATGACTTTATTACTGTGTTTTGAGGTGTTCATTAACGTATGTACAGTCATTCCTTTCTAAATTCTGACTTTGCTATCGTTACAATCCATTTTACAATTTAAGATCCTTATCTGGTTAAATTAAATCTTAGTTTCTTTCAGCCTTTAAATTGATTATTTTTGCACAAATTAAAGTGTAAACCACTTGTCTGTTTTGGTAGTAGTTGTGTTGTAGTTTGAATGATTTGCATGTAAGAAATAAGCAAGTTCTGCAAGCAGAAATACAAAAAGTTTTTAGTAAAAGCAGCTGATATCATTGGTAAAGTCAGATACAAATCGAGTGAGTGTGTGAAGATTTGTCCTATTTGTCTACTTCAGGTCCTTTTAATTGGCTTGCCTAAGCTAGCATGGCCTTGGGGTGGTTGGTCCCACCAAAGCAGGAGGCTTTTTGCAGAGGGGAGGCTCTGTAGGGTGAGTGCATGACTGTTCTCTGCTGTATTAAGTTCTCCAGAAATCAAATATCTGTGGACAATAAAGGTGCTGGAGCATCCAGAGGGTTCTT